TTGCCCAAGGACACAACGACCGAGACTGTCCGAGCCGGGGCTCGAACCGGCAACCTTCCGATTACAAGGCGAACTCCCAACTCTTGAGCCACAATCACCCCAATTATTTTATTATTTTTATTTTATTATTTTTCACTGATGTACTGTAACTCCTCTGCAGTTTTGCAGTTCTTCATGTCTGAAACTGCAATTACAGCCTGAAATCTTTTATAAATGATGACAACCATTAATTAACCAGGCCCTAGTTATGCATGAATTAGGCAAACACACTAAATGCCTGCTCAGAAGACTCTTTTTAAAGAAAAATAAAAGATGCTTGTATTTGTACTCAAAGCAGCACACTGAAAGATGAATGTCACTGTTAATCGGGGAAAGAGGGGAATCTAGATTTTATGTTACTGTACTTGCTGTATTTTTCCTAAAACTCCAGGCTTCAGGTTCCCTGTTAAGCTGTCAGATGAGAAAGCATCAAAAAGGTGCCACTTTACAACATGTTTACAGAAAAACACAATGAACACCTGGCCAGGAGGTTCGCTTAGTATGTGTAGCTCTCTGCTGCCTCGCTCCAAGATGGCCAGTAGGTTGTGTACACAGCTGGCTGGAGAAGCTGCATCCCTGAGAGGTTGATGCTGCGTGTTCAAGTGCCAGCATGCAAACTGCTGCTCCCTGAATGTCACCCGTCTTTCTTAACTTTCCCAAATCTTCAAGGCATGGCTTGTCGGCTTTATCCCTCAGTAGTTGGTGCAGCTCTGCTATTGTTCAGTAAGCTTCTTCTTCATTCCTCAAGCATCCTCACTCTCTAGGACTGTGTCCTCTCTCCCAGACATCTCCCACACCTTCACAGATTTGTCATGTGGACAAACTGCCTTTCCACTCTGTATCTTTTTCACATCTGCCCTCACTTCTTCTTTACAATTCCTCTGCCCTTCCTGATTCACTAACTGTCCTCCATCCATAACCCCATTTTTGCTCATTTTCTTCATTCAGCTCCACAAAGTAGTCCCTTCATCTTCTCAGCACACTCTCTTCTCTCTTCACTTGATGATACATCACCATCTGCATAACCTGCTGCACATCCTTTCCAGCACAGTCCCGTTGCTTGGCCAATCAAATCTTTTTCTCAACCCCTTTTCTCCTGCCTTAGTGTCCAGCCTCACATACAAATCACTATACGACTTTTCCTTTGCTTTTACCACCTCTCTCCTTGTCATTTGCATGGTCTCTCAGTACTCCCGCCTACTTTCTTCATCTCCCTAAAGTATTCAAGCTTCTTCCTGTAAATAATTTACACTTTTTTCACACTGGTAGCAGATCATACTGCATTTCACTGAGACATTTGGTGGTGGTCTCTGGCACACCCTTAGACTCCTCAGGAGAGTGAAAGCTACAACTGAAGCCTTTCCAAAATGAGCAATGCCAGTTGTCTGAAGAAGACTAGAGAATAGTTTTTGATTCATTTGGATTGTAACAACAAATCCAGACGGATTCAGAGTAATCTCAATGAGGCCATTTCTGTTCATTCTGACTGTATTTATCAGAAACTGTGGAAACAACAATTTATAGTGTGTATGGTGCTCCCAGATATGAGGTGAATCATACCCCCCCCCTCCCCTAGGGTGACAAGCCTCCTGTGTGCCTCTCTATTTCTCCAGGTACGTGTTAGCATTTTTCAAGCCTGGCATGGTTGGGGTGCCTGGGGTTCAGACAACAGCACCTGCATCTGGCAGTGCATGCTGGGCTAGTAGTGTGTGCATAATGTAGATTTGTAATTTGTCCATTTGTAATGGGCAGCAGTCCTGCTGGCATGATCAGTGGTGTGTTTTCTTTGGAGGATTCATTAGCTTTGCAATTTGTACAGTGTTATCACTGGTTGTCACACTGCTTGCATTAGGATTTAACATTAAAAAAGGTTTTCATATCAAATATGACGTTTTAAGACCCAGTTTTACATTTGAAAATAAACCTTTGGAAAACCAGATTGTAGCTAAGTGAGAGGGAAAATCTGTAAATTATTTGCAGATTCATCTTTTCTGATGATAATTAATTTTTCTGGTGTGGAATAAAAGAGATTTTGACCATAGACGGTCCTCAGAGAGAACACATGGTTAAGAAATATAACATCAATATCTTTAGAAACGGCTTCTTTGATATTTGCAGGTAATTTTTATTTTTATTTTTTAAATAGACAGCTTTCTCAATTTAACAGTGATATTCTTGATGTTTCCTGTCTGCCTCTGTAAAGGTATTTTAAACTGCTATCTTATTGTAACTCCATGTGGAGCACGGTGAAATCGGTTGGAGGGTGTTTTTGGCAATTGTTACTAAAAGATTTAGGGATAACGTTGCTAGGAGACCCTGACATCAGCTATTTATCCCAAAGTCATGTAGAAACCCACACACAAACACACTGACTGGATTCAGTGTGTGTGTGCGTGTATCTCCTCTTCCCACTGCGTCTGTGCGTTCTTGCTCATACTATAAAGCTGCAAGCACCTCTTTCACTCTGCTCGCTGACGTCTCCGCGAAGCGTGATTTCTATTCAACTCAGCTCTGCTTAGAGGATGCACAGCAGATGATGCTTGAGGGGTTTTTTTTGTTCCCAGTTCTTTTTTTAAAAAACAAACCATTTTGTCAGACACAGTTTTGTCAGGGTTAGAGAGCAAATATCAACTCATTTACTTGCCTGTATTCTATCTTTTAGTCAAGTTACTATCCTTTCCTCTAAAGGAAAATCCCTGGATGGAAGGTTAGGTGATGGATTGAATTGTGGACCTTACTACAAAGAAGTGGAACAGTGGGGACAAATCAGCTGAAAACCAACTCAAAGAAAAGAAGAGGGAGTTGCAAGTACACTGGATTTGCTTCTGAGTATTTGATGACCGAGCTTGGAGAAGACATCTGTGTGCCTGTCAGCATAACCTCGGTTGTTAATAATTTCCCAGGGCTATTGAGACGGGCGCTTAGCTCTCGAGTCAGAAAAACAGCAGCTTTAAAGCTCAGCGGTGTTGGCAGTGGCAATTTTCATCCAACAAGCTTCAAAGAAAAGACGCCCTTTATCCACTCCTGCTCACCTCCTATTGTTTTGTGACCTGTTGACATAATTTCTCTATCACTATGATTCTACTTTGAGTCCAACACTTGAGCAGCTTAAGAAGTCTTTTTCCATCTTGCCTGACCCCCTTTTCTCCTGAATTACATCCCTCCACCTTTTAATTTACCTTGGTACCCTTTCACTTTGATTAAACTGCTTGCTATTCACTTCAATTTTGCCTCATCTCGTATCTGGTGTTTTTCCTACAATCTGCCACCCCATATACCTTTCACTGCTGAACTTTTCTCTCATGCAGTCTTCCTGCCAGACTTTTCCCCTCCTTATTATTTGCTTTTCTCTCATTTTCTTTGCCTGAGGGCAGAGAGGACTGCATACTGCACACTCTCTCTCTTCAAATTGGTTCTAGACCTCATACAACCTGCTCACTTACCCGCTCGCGTCCGTCACAATTATTCCCCCTCTCCTGTCACGATGTACTCCTCCGAGGAGCTGTGGAACTCCACCGAGCAGGTCTGGATCAATGGATCTGGAACAAACTTCTCTCTAGGAAGACACAAAGACGATGAGGAGGAGGAAGGAGACAAGCATCCTTTCTTCACAGATGCCTGGCTGGTCCCTCTGTTCTTCTCTCTCATCATGCTGGTCGGACTGGTGGGCAACTCTCTGGTCATTTATGTCATTTCAAAACACAGACAGATGAGGACGGCAACCAACTTCTACATAGGTAAGCAAAAACTTCCATGTGCAAGTTTGTATTTATGATTCTTGGTAAATGGACAAAGACTAGAAGGAGATAATGATGCATAGGAGATGTGACTCACATGGACAGGAGGTAGATAAACATCAGCTATGTTATTAAACATCTCTTTCATCATTGCATGCTCAAATCGGGATCACGAGAAAGCCAAGTGGAAATTTCCCTGAATATCTATTTGACAGTTTGAGTGCACAGCTCATTGGAAAAATGTCTGTGCTGATTAAAGATTTCACTTTAAGTATTAACGTCAATGACAGGTGCTCAAACGTGTATATTAACTTAATGCAAATATCTTTCTTTGCACAAGAGAAAATTAAACATTTTGTAAAAAAAATAATTATCTGCTGTTTTGGGACCAGTGCAACGTGGAATCTAAAATTTATCTGCACCAGAAAAATATTTTTCTCAGTAGTTCATGGTTTGAGATATGCATCAGTTATTTGTCGCTATGTGCAGAGGTTATTTGCAAATAAAGCTCCAAGGATTCATGACATTAAATTCATTAATACGAAAAAGTAAATCATGAATTATATTTTTATTTCACCGTCTTTCATTTAACAGCAAAAATATCTATCCTGAAGAGACATCAACTTAAACTGAAATCTACCTTTAAATGCAAATTTGAAATGTAAAAAATGCCAAACTTTATGAAGGACAAGGTCATGGCAACTGGCAGTATTCAGCAGATGCTGTATTCCACAAAAAACGGCTGGAGGTCTGGGAGGGAAACAAGGTGAATGTTGAAATACACTCTCCTTTCAACAAGAGACACAACAGAACCACTCACTCATATAACACTGCCAAGCTGGTCCAGCACTGGGCTAGCCAAGTCCTCTCTTCAGTGCAGTAGCCAGTGCTGACTGCCAAGTGGAGACAGCTTCACAGGACACAATCTGAGTCAGGGAGAGAGCAGGGGACACAATCACACAACAAAACCTTCCTCTGTCTTCCTGCCTGTGACCCGGAAGTCAAAAACAAAACGCCATGCTGAATGATGCTTTAAGTCCTAAATAAAAAAACGAATACAGGGGACAAAGGAGAGAGGAGGCATTGTTTGTGTTGTTTAATATAATCAAACCCTTCCTGTGTGTGTGCGATTCAAAAGTTATATCTTGTTACTCTGTGCCAGATGTCTTATTTAGTTGAGGTTGCTTGAACGTGATCGCTCTGAGGCCTGTTTACTCACTTTCTCCACTCTCAGCTCTGATGGGAGGGACTACCGCCCAAGGAGAGGAGTCGAGGATGTGCAGTTTGGGAAATGAGACACTACCTCAGTGAATATGGCTGAGAAGAAAGACGAAAACGGGGGCTTGGATGCTTAAATGTCCCAGACTGCAATGTCCCTACATGACCAGCAAGAAAATCATGTCAGGGCAAGATTTCAAAGATAGCCACATATGCATGGTTTTCTGCTTGAGTCATACATCAGATTAAGTCTGTCCATAAGGATGTTTAGTTAAACAATGCTGCTGATGTTTTTTATCGGCTACAATACCTCTGCTCTTTTGTGAAGTTAACCCTTCATTTGAATCACATTCTTCACAAGTACAGTCTGCGACTTGACTGGTGAAATTTCTTTTTGCTGGTTTGTCAACTCAGCCAAGCAGGCATTTGCTCTTACACTAAAGCCAGCATTAACTGTACTTATGAAAGCAAATGAGACAAACACACTTTAATGGAAGGTGCAGGTGTTCAGACATGTCCTGAGTCCCAACTGAGTGCAGATTATTTCTAAGACCATCCACATTATGAGAAAAAAAATCTAATTAAAGGGTATAATAATGATCATGTTGGAGGTGCTTTGGGATCCTCATTGCATACAGGTTGGAATTATTAATTTCTGCAAGCAAGCAGTTTTCATGGTTCAGTAGACCTCGTAGCTTAAAATCTGCTTCCCTTTTCTGTGCGTGTTTGCAAAAGGTTTTCTTCTTAGCAGATAATGCTCAGGGGATTCATGGTATGAAAGGAATCAAAGAAAAAAGATTTCTTACTACGTGTTTGCTGTCTCCAGTGTAGCCAGAGCTTCGGTGGACATTTAAACCACACGATTTATGTACTGCTAATTGTTTAACTGTAGTTGGTTATAATTGTAACAGTTAACTTTGCCTGAGACAGCTCGGAAGTGACATGACAAGACGAGTGAGATGGAGGAAAAAGTCAAAATATAAGTACTTGTTTTGCAAAAACATGAATTAATCATGAAGCGGACAAAGTCAGTGGCTTTCGATATCATTAGTGGTGAGGGTGTGTGAGTGGGTAAGTACTTGGTACTATGTGGTGAATGAAACAAATCATACAGAAATGCCTGTGAAAGAAAAGCTCCACTGGGACTGAGGAAGTGTGGAGCTTTACAGCTAGGGGACACAAATGATGCACTCTAAGTGGACGAGGCAGACAGGCAAGCAGATTATCCCAAAGGACATGGGTGTAAATATTTTATTTTAAATGTCACATAAAGTAAGATAGACTGGGGGAAATAATTCAGCCCCTGCCGAATGTGTAACTTTAAAATGAACCATCTTCAATTTTATGGTAGCTTCATTTTCAAAAGACACAGAATATCAACCAAAAGTCAAGAAAAACACACATTACATAAAAGTTGTGCATTCATTTTCATGCCATTTAGTCAAATAAGTATCTGATCCCCAAGAAGAACATGATTTAATACTTGGTGGGAAACCCTCGTTGACAACCACAGCAGTAAGACGTTTCTTGTAGTTGGTCACCAGGTTTGCACACATCTCAGGAGGGAGTTTGGTCCACTCCTCTTTACAAAAACTCTCTAAATCCTTTAGCTGTCTTGGCCACCACGTGGCAACTGGAAGCTTGATCTCCCTCCACAGATTTTCTGCAGGAATGAGGTCTGAAGACTATCTGGAGACTGGATAGGCCACTCCATTATCTTTATGTGCTTCTTCTTTAGTCACCCCCTTGGTGGCCTTTTTCTAATGCTGGAAAACCCATCTTCAGTGTTCTGGCTGAGGGAAGGAGGTTGGGATGAGTTGGGATTGGAATTTTTTTTGTAATTGGTTGATTGATGTGGTACACAGCCAATCATTGGGATCCACAATTCTGACCGCTTTGTAGGGGTTCAAATACTTATTTCACTTAATAACATGCAAATCATTCTGTCATTCTGTGTCTCTCCACTTACACATTCAGCAGGGGCTCAGATTACACCCCCCGTAAGTGTTTGGTGCTGTGTGGCAAATGACACAAATCATACAGAAATGCCTGTGAAAGAAAAGCTCCACTGGGACTGAGGAAGTGTGGAGCTTTTACAGTGAGAGGACACTAATGATAGGCTCCTTTGTAGACGAGCCAGACAGGCACAATGGACACGTGCATAAATATTTTACATGGAGAGTTGCACAGATTTTCAGTGTCTGAAATAAAGTAGCATAAAGAGTGTCCAATCATGCTCCGATCTGCTACCTCATCTGGTCCTTAAAGCACCGAGACTTGCAACCTGTGTGATTATTTTTTTACTGTTTAAGTCAGCACGCCTGCTAGAGCTGTGATGTCTACTGTCGCTTGAAGAGAAATGCAAAGGTGATTGATTTACTGGATGAGCACACAGAACAAACAAACAAAATATAATTTCAAAAATGGCTTGTCACAGGCATTCATGGGAATTGAGCTCATTTGTTGCGTAAATGTTGCAGTTCGCCGATTTACTGCAGAAATGATTTGCGTCTCTCTTTGCACAGTGCATTGTGGATATGACAAGAATTTCATGTTGGATAATATACCTCAAGACCACAGCATGGAAACAGCTTAATATTCAGCAACATTTCATTGGGGCCGGCACCATCTGCCTATCCTCTCGACATAATGATCCAGTAGCTACACTGTGATTAGATCAACTAAAACAAAAGGAAGTAGTGTGTGGCATATTGGAATGGTGAATAAATGAAGACAACACCAGAAGCAGGCTATAAAGGTTTAAGCTGTAACTTCTGCTTGGTATGTGTGTGTGTGTGTGTGTGTGTGTGTGTGTGTGTGTGTGTGTGTGTGTGTGTGTGTGTGTGTGTGTG